GTTTATACAGGGTGAGTTTCCTACGATGTTCTCTATGGGTATCTCGGAAACTACTGAAGATAGAGAGTCGGTTCAATGGGGAAAGAATTGCAGTTTTGTGGGGTCATAAATATGCGCTTTTCAGATTTCTGATTTGTGAAAGTCATGTTGGAACCACTCTATTAGTCCGCGAGTATCTAAATTTAACTATTCTAACATGTCTTGAAAACCGTTCTCTAAAAAACGTAAGTAACGTTAACCGGTCAACGTACCTCGAAACTGTATGGCCAAGAAAAGTTGAAACAATAATCCTACACGCTTTTCTTCATTTGAAAAATTCATATTTACAATTTTTGTTTATTTTAATTTACAAAGTTTGGATGTGACAGTTACACATTTCTGAGAGCTTGTTTCCATGGCCAACTAAGTGAAATTATCCAAGAAAGATAACAATTGGCTATAACTCAGTAATTTTGTGAAAAAAAAACATGTAATACCTTCTATCGCTAAAAAACTTAAAAAATAGCGCTTTTATGAAGTCATGGCCAACTATGGTTTCCATTTAAAAGACGTGTCATATGTCAAAAATGACAGGCTTTAGAAAAAATCGGAGAGCACAAACTCATTACTGATATGATTATCTACAGCTTTTATCTGAAAACTTTTTATCTAAAATAGATTATAATGGAATTAGGGACAATTTTTAAAATAACCAAAATCTATTTTTTTCGAAATATCTAGTAAGCCATGAACTTTTTCAAAAATCTGAAAGGCGCATATTTATGACCCCACAAAACTGCAATTCTTTCCCCCATTTAACCGATTCTCTATCTCTAGTAGTTTCCGAGATACCCATAGAGAGCATCGTAGGAAACTCACCCTGTATATCAAAGTTAAACAATTACAAAAATAAAAATGAATTCAAAATTATTGTTTAAAAGTGTTATTGAAGTTTATTTACACTGTATATATCAGATTTTTTGCATATGCCATTTGTCCTACTTAGCGAAATATATTGCCTCTTTTTTGTCAGTCTCCATTCTCGTCGCCCTTATCTCCTCAAATTGCTCTGCTATAAAAGCTCGTAATGCCGACAAGAAATATCGAATAACCAGCTTCCTTTCACAGAAAATGCGATAGATAGGTATACACTAAGAGCAATATATCATAATAGAATTTTTATTTATTTAGGAAATATAATACATTTATTTATATACTAGCATGTACCCGCAACTTCGTTCGCGTCGAGTTAATCATTTGTAATGGTGATGATAAAGCAAAGCAAGAATTTCCATTAACATGCAAACTGGATAAAATTTTCTCACATTTATGTCAGCATGAGAAAAAACAATCGAGAACCCCCTCCTTATCAAACCTCTACACCCCACAGTCAATCCGTTTGCCAAAAATCAGCTTTAAACGTCAAGCAGTTTAAGCAGAATCGTGATTACTTAATGGTCATATTTTATGAAACACCCTGTATAAATTTTTAAAAAATCGTAGAATATGTAAAACAACAAAATAAAATATACGTGTTTAAGAGTTTTTCCAAAAAACTCACCGGTTTTTAAATAAAAAAATATTCTATTATTTGAGGGGTGGTTTCACCCCCTTAGAATTCGAGTTTCGAAAAATCCTTTCTTATCGAACCTCTACACCCTAAAGTCAATCGGTTTTGCAAAAATCAGCTTTTTACGTCAAGCGCTTTAAGCAGGATCGTGATTAATCAATGACCAAATTTTTCGAAACACCCTGTATACATTTTTAAAAAATCTTAAAATATGTAAAAAACAAAATAAAATATACGTGTTTAAACGTTTTTTTTCGGAAACTTGACCGTTGTTTATAAAATTTTGTAATATTTGAGTTGTGGTTTCACCCCCTTGGAACTGGAATTTCGAAAAATCCCTTCTTATCGAACCTCTATACCCTAGAATCAACCAGTATGCTAAAATTGGGCTTCTTACGTTGAGTGGTTTGAGCAGGATCGTGATTAATCAGTGAGTCAGTCACTTAAGGATTTTATATATTAGTATAGATTTCTGTTTCTAGTATACCGACTGATGACTATATTATGGAGTTTGATAGACAATAAAAACTACAATCGCAAAATAACTCAATCAGACTTACGATTGAGAAAGAGAAAAACTTCTGTCTACCGTTTCTGGAATATTCTTGTCAGGGAAAAAAAGGGGGTAAACCTATAATAAGAAAGGAATTTATGATAAAACTTTGTAACCGACTTAGAAGATCATAGCTAGTGTATCGTTTAAGTGTCCCACCTTTAGCACGTTGACTTAAATTTCTAATCAGTAATATTTTAGAAATTTCTCTGCAGACAGATTTACAGAAACGCCCAACGCTAAAACGCACTACTTGTTACATACGAAGGATTCAGAAGTGAACTGGATCAGTCTAGAAGATAATTATGGACAAAATGAGAGTTTAAAATTAAGGTTTTTTAATGTTACTTAATTAAAATGAAACAAACTGGAGAAGAAAACTTGACACAATGCTTTATTATATTTTAAATTGAATATTTGCAAACAACAGTAACTCAAAATACCACTGTGGTCATTTTTAACAATGCTTGTTTATACTTTTTTGAACTTGAGATTAAGGGATTTGTTAAATTCACATTGTCTATTAATAGTGTTTTCTTCGATTTTTATAAAAATCATGGTATATAGGCGGGATAAAGGGAAGAAGATCTTTCATGTGTTGCCTTTTAGAGTGTGTTACTTTACGTCTATATGAAATGATAAGATTTTTCTTCCTCGTGCAGGTTTATTCAGATCAATAACATGTCAGATATCTAAGTATTTGTAAGAAAAACAGCCTAACTTATTCATGTAGTAAAAGTAAAAATACTGATAAATCAAATTATACTTTCAGAATCGATAGAATCAGGCCTTTCAGATGGCTGATAATCTGGTTCACTTGGTGCAAATGGTTCAGACTTTGTTTCATTGTCATCCATTTTATCAAAAAAATACTTTTTTAGCTCTAAGCTTTAGCACGTGTGTTAAAATAGCGCACATCGTTAAATTTTATGGACTTGATCCAGTTCAAAAGGAATCAACAGAATACTCAGAAACCAAACAGAAACTGGCTATAGTTGCTTAATGCTTGAAGTATGACTGGATTCCCCCATTTCTCTACTGGAAATGAACAATATTTTATAGGCGTATATTTTCTGGAAAGATCGGGATATATATCTAAAATATAGGTATCTAAAAAGCGACATTTTGGTTTAAAGCAACCAATTATTAATTCAATTGCACATATTTTTACGTTTTATTGTTTTATTCTATGTTGTCTGTACCATTTACTTTTTATTTTTACAAAATCAATGTCTGTACTGTTAACATATACAATCTGTCTATAAAGGTCTTGTTTAGTAAAATGTCAAATATTGTACCGAACTAAAATAGCAGGTGATACGCCGCTAAATAGCCTTTGATGCTGATGCGGCTTGAAAGCTAAATTTCTGCTTCTTCTTCTACAAGCGTATAAAGACGATTATCTTAAAATAGTAGGAAATTGGACTTCATCCATCTTAATTCTGACCACTCCATATGTGTCCATCAAAAAAACAAAGAATGGCGCCACTTTATTGCAACTACTGCAACATCGTGAGCAATACTGTGTAACTTGCGATACTGAGAAATAATTATTGATTTGTTTTGCCATTATATCGTTTTCTGAACTTTTTTTAAGTTATAAAGAGTGCTTTCCATAAAATCAATAAAATGAAAAATATACGAAATAATATGCATGTACTGATTTGCAGAGAGAGAGAGAGAGAGAGAGAGAGAGAGAGAGAGAGAGAGAGAGAGAGAGAGAGAGAGAGAGACTAATGGAGAGAGAGAGGTGCCAATTGTTTTAGATAAAAAAATTGGCGCCGGGAGGCACGTATAGCCGCCCATACTGAAATATGTTAATAAAAAGTTGGTAGGCAGTTCTTTTAGTTTCAAAGTAAAGGAATTTTTTCAATTTTTTTATCTCAAAAACTGAGACTTTGACTGATTTTGATGTTATTACAAATTTTGTTGCAAATATTATTCCTAATCTTAAATTGAAAACCGCGTTTCGTTAGCTACTGTAATTTTAGAGTTAGGATTTTTTAAAATTTTTAACCCCCTCTCAGACCCCCTTACCAACCCCCCACCCCCACCAAAAACTAATGGCCAGATTCTCGGGTGCCACAGTATTTTTATGCCAAATTTGGTTAAAATCGGTTTAGCGGTTCTTGAGTTATCGTGTTACAGACGGACAGACAGACAGACAGACACCATGAAAATATTTTGTATTTAGGTCATTTATGACCCAAATAACTCATTTTGAGAGAAATTAAAAAAACCTTTTTTTGTCGATTTTATTAGCCTACCTTACCTGTTGGCATAGTCGGCTAAAAATATTAATAAGATATTTCGTTTGTAAGAAATATCTTAAAATTTACGAATGAATAAATAGTATTTGCGGCATTGCATTATTTGGTTAGTGATCTATGGTTAAAACAGTTAAATTAAAAAAAATCATATTTTTCTGTCTTCTCCTTAAACATCTATGATTTAACTTCCTTCATTAACGCCACACAAAGAAACCGAAATTCCTTTACCCATTTCACTCAGTACCTTTAATTTACTTGTTAACATTCTAATCCGCTTACCTATTATACCTGAACTGTCATTATCCTCTGCGACAAGCCCGCATTACGTCGAAATTCGACCGCACTTATCCCATCCAGTCAAAGCCGAACAGAGACAACCGTAAAAAATCATAACACTTACTCATTATACTAAGTCCCCTACCCCGAAAGTCACCCCATTGAATGGACCCTCGAATAGATCCATTTCATTCAATAATAAGCGCTCGACAGGGGAGGGTTATGGTATTGTACCCCCACCATGTCTCTTAAGGACAACCCACCGGACTATAAGGGTGGCTACCCTCTGTTTGCCTAGGATTTAGTATAATTTTTTGAGTTGTTAGAGTGTGACAAGTGGTTTGGAGAGAATATGTACGAGAATAATTTCGAATTGTGTCAGTACGGTGTGAAAAAAGATGATGGAAAATGTACGAGGATTTTTAGACCTTGGGACTGTGAAGATGTTTCACAGGACTGTACCGTGTCGACTACGACACAAGAAGAAGACGAAGATATTAATAGAAATTATGAAAAAGATACTCCTGAAGAAAAAGCCTTAAGAAATATTAAAGAAATCAAAGATAAAAATATATCAGAAAAAGAAAAACTTTCCCTTTCTAGTCACACAACACTTCCTGAACAAAATTTCCCACAAACCTACAGTAGCACTCTGCCAATAGATTACCTTCAAGACCCATACAACCCACTATATCCACCAGAGGTACTTCAAAATAATCTAGCTCAACATCTAGGACTGTCTCCGAGTAATCCGTTGATTTTGGAGTCGCTAACTCAAGGGTATGCTTTGGAAGAGTATGCTAGAGTTTTGAACCAGGAGCATGAAGCTAAGATGCTGGCTGCCAAGAAACAGAGGCCGAAGAAGTATAGATGTTCTCACTGTAACGTTGGGTTTTCGAATAATGGACAGCTGAAAGGACATATCAGAATACATACTGGTAAGTTTGAATAATTTTTTTAATAATGTTATATATTTTTTAATGTATTCTGTGGTTTTTATATAATGCGTTCATGTATCTGAGTAACTTTAACTACTAGATAGTTTATAATATAAATATCCTTATGGATAGGGCTAATAATACCATCATTTAAAAGACATGGTTTCAGTGTTTATTAAAAATAAATATTGCTGAATATTTTGACTGATTCTTGCAGTAGACGTGCATATATTTTTACTGATAGATATCGATAAAAGTATCATATACAGGGTTGTTCACCACATACTACAAGCATTTTTCCGAGACGTTCGTTTTAAAGCAGCGTATCTCCAATACAAACAGAGATAATGTCGTTATTAAAAAAACCAAATGCTCACAAATAATAAGGCTACAATGTGATTTGATTTAGCAATAGCTACTACAGCTGCTGCACCCTACAGGGTGTTACAAAGTTCGGGCAAAAATCTTCGTCTTATTGTTGTGCCCTGTATATGCTCAAAATAAATTCGGAATAAAAATTTCTGACGTAGCATCTGTTAAGAAGGAATTAATTTACAATTTAAAAGAAAATCGTCAAAATCTAATGAGTGGCTCGCGAGAAATCCAACTTTGAAAGTGAGACTAGTTTTTAGTGGCCGTTTTTTTTCCCAGTGAGTGTATAAAATAATTTTTCTTCGTTTTATTTTTTTAACGGAACACCTTGTATATTGTTTTTTCAATAGATGGAGAATTAAAAAACAAACATTTTTGTATTCAGAGTTTTTCAAAAGGCTTTACTTAAACTGCCGTTAAACGGTAGCTTACTAAAATGCCGTTAATAGGTATGACGTCGTTGATGTGACGCTTTATTTGACTTGACGGCTTTATGAAATATAGGAATTTTATAAGGACTAACCAACGCTATCCACCGCTCCAAATAACCAACTTAACCAACGCAACTAGCCTCGACACTGATAAAAAATATAAAAAACAAATATAAATTAGTAAAAATCAACCAACCCCACCAAATAACCAACTAACCAATGAATTAACACCCTCCAAATAACCACGCTAACCAACCCGCCAAATAACTAAACCAATCCAACCAAAAAGAGTGAAACCAATGCAATAAGATCACGCTATAAGCAAAAAAAATATCAAAAAGTCTTGGTCGGCGTGAGATTTGAACCACGGACCATTCGCTTACAAAGCGATAGCCTTAGCCACTGACCCACAGGTGCTCTTGCAAAATGCTTAAGGTAAGGCATTACTTTCCGCCGACATGAACGACGTCACAATATCTATTAACGGCATTTTAGTAGGCTACCGTTTAGCGGCTGTTTAAGTACATCGTTTTTTCAAAGCCACCCCGAGATTGTTATCTCGTATTTTACCGTTAAAAACGCTATATGAAATAATACTGCGTGTATCTGCGAAACCATTAAAAATTCATTTTTTAACTCTCCATTTAATAAAAAATATAATATACATTTATTTATTATTTTATTTATTTACTTTTAATATCTCTGAAATTATAGCAATATATTTACTCATATCTTAGGATTATATAAAATGATCTGAAAAGAAGCCAAAAATTCAATAATATACGGGGTGTTCCATTTAAAAAAACCATCGCGATCCACTCACTTTTTTGAGCGATTATATTGATAGAAGCTAAAATGTTTTTTTGAAATACATCCTCGTACATACTTTAGGGTTGCACTTCAACAAAATTGTCAAGTTTTTGACTTTAGGACCTACAGTTTTCATTCCAGTTACCCTGGAATATATAATTTCAAATCGTGACATTTCTATACTGGGAAATAATTAAAATAAATCTGAAACCTTCAGAAATAGTTAAAAAGCGTAATTCTGTCCTATCTTATTGCGCGGTCCTATCACGATGGCTTACTCTTTTATTCCTCGAGCTATTTTCCAGTTACGTTTCCAGACGGTCGAGGTTTTCCAAGGATTTTCCTCCATTTTCCATCGCCAGACACGCCGGATTTTTATGCTGTTACAAGTTTAATAAACGTGATTTCTTCCGTCTGCCTTTATACTATAGAAGCTGACATTTTTCGATACAACAGAAAGCGTGTGAGTGAGATTTTATGAACTCTTCCGCTGTTTTATGTATATGGAAATGTCGTGCCAGTACGCTATTCATAAAAGAAAGTATTGTGTCCTTTGATTTTTCTATGATACCAAAGATATTTAGTGTAGTATGGCCTTTAGAACATTTTAAAACACTTTAAACAATGTCCGGCTACTACTAAATTATATCCTAAGAAACTTTTATTAACCCATTTGCGTCAACAATCCTGTATATTATATGTCGCAGGCATATCGAATAACTCGGCTGAAAACTTTCAATGGCTATAATTTTTAAACCAAAAAAGATATCAAAAAAATAAAAAATACCGTTTCTATAATATCGAGGGGTAACACATATGACGTATTTTTTGAACCACCCCGACCTACCCCTTAGGCGGCGCCCCTACTCACTTGAAAATTTTAAATGGCTACACCCCACTTGTGGCGCCTTTTTGGAAAGCCCATGAAAAATGCTAAACGATGATCATAAATTTTTTAGGGTGAAGTTGAAAAACTACCCCTTACACGAAAAATTAGGTGGACATTAATGAAAAAGGTGATTTTTTCAGTATAAGTTACAAATTGGGACCCAGCTAAATGAGGCAAATGAAGTATTTTTCAAACCACCCCAACCCACCCCTAGGTGCCACCCCCTCACTTCTAATCTCAAGATAGCGATACCCCACTTATGACACTTCTTTGGAAAGCTAATTGAAATTGCTAAACGATGGTCATACAGACTTCAACTTAATTACTGGTTAGTGACAAGAAATGTAGGTGTGACAATTTGAACGAAATTTAAAATGATAATGTATTTTAACAATTGCTCAAAATGACAGCCGTTTTGTTCCATACAAAAATACAAACGATTTTCAAATTCTTCTCTCACTTTTTGGAAAGTCTCTCTCGGAATATTTCGACATGCTTCAGTTCTCCTCTGCCGCAATTCTTGCATCTAACCTGGTTTTGTCTTATAGACTATGGATTTAGTGTAATCCCACAAGAAAAAGTCTAAAAAAGTGAGATCAGGTGACCTTGACGGCCACTCGATTGGATCCCTTCTGCCAATTCATTGCCTTGGATAATATTTATCCAACCACCGCCTTGTGACAATAGAATAATGCGGAGGGGCTCCATCTTAGCTGAAGGTCTATGAGGTCTTCATTAAGAGTTGTAATAAATTTTTTTGTACCAGTTTTTTTTCGCAATGGTACATGAATACAAAAATAATTCATTCTATGTTTTGACATTTTTTTTTATTTTTAGCTCCATTTTTTTCGTTTTTTATATGACAGTCGTTTAGCATTTTTTATACGCTTTCCAAAGAGGTGTCACAAGTGGGGTATCGCTATCTTGAGGTTAGAAGTGAGGGGGTGGCACCTAGGGGTGGGTTGGGGTGGTTTGAAAAATACCTGATTTAGCTGGGTCCCAATTTGTAACTTATGCTGAAAAAATCACTTTTTTCATTAATGTCCACCTAATTTTTCGTGTAAGGGGTAGTTTTTCAATTTCATCCTAAAAACTTTATGATCACCGTTTAGTATTTTTCATGGGCCTTCTAAAAAGGCGCCACAAGTGGGGTGTTGCCATTTAAGATTTTCAAGTAAGTAGGGGTGCCGTCTTAGGGGTAGGTCGGGGTGGTTCAAAAAATACGTCATATGTAGTCCCCCTCGATATTATAGGAACAGTATTTTTATTTTTTTGATATCTTTTTTGGTTTAAAAATTATAGCCATTGAAAGTTTTCAGTGGCCCACCCTGTATGTATGTCCTAAAATGCTTAGTTTTGGAGATACAGGGTGTATAGAAGTTTCATTTTTATTTCGATTTTTTCCAAATAATTTATGAAGTAACGTCAATATTTGGATGAAAATTGGTATCTGGGAGTTTTTTGATATGAGAAATTTGATTTTGATGTCAATATGACTCTTATTTATAGGGGGCGCCACCTACATGTGTTTTAACTGTTTTGAAGAGTAATAACTTTTCGTCCGTACCTGTATAAAATTACTGAGTAAAAGAATATAAATTTCCATGACTTTTTACGTAAAAAATGTCTCTTGGTAAAAATGGTTACGAGCAACCGTTCTCAAGATATTTAGAATGGAAGTAGTCAATACACATGTCATTATTGACAAAAAATAAATACGTTGAGTAGATATAGTTATTTGACTAAAATAATACATTTGGGAAATTTTAATTTTTTTAAATTAATCATAAATTTTTCTCCGATAAAATTACGAAAAATCAGTTTCTGTTGAACTTTTGGTACAAAAACATTTCAAATTTATTATTTTAGAGTAATAACTATTTAGTCAACACGTTTAATTTATGTCAATAATGACAGGTATTGATAATTTCGATTGCAAATATCTCGAGAACCATTGCTCGTAGCGATTTTTACTAAGGGACCTTTTTTACGTAAAAAACGTCGTAAATGTATATTTTTTTACTCAGTAGTTTTATACAGGTACGGACGAAAAGTTATTACTCTTCAAAACAGTTAAAAAATATGTAGGTGGCGCCCTCTACAAGTAGGAGTCATATTTACATCAAAATCAAATTTCCCATGCCAAAAAACTCCAAGACACTAATTTTCATCCAAATATTGACGTTACTTCATAAATTATTTGGAAGAAATCGAAATAAAAATGAAACTTCTACACCCTGTGTCTCCGAAACTAAGCACTTTAGGATATACATTTATGCGAGCTTTTTTACTTATTTTTATCTGCAAAATATGCTGCCGAAGTTTCCGTAATACAGTTCGGACCACCCTGTATATTTCTGTTCACGTCAAGCTATATTTTCTGTAGTAAATCAAATATTTATTCTTTGTACCAATTCTGAATCTAACCTTTCGTTTGTCTTTGTTCCAGGTGAACGCCCATACAAATGCGATGAAAAAGACTGCGGAAAAACCTTCACAAGAAACGAAGAACTAACCAGGCACAAACGAATCCATTCAGGACTGCGTCCATTTCCCTGCAGTCATTGTGGAAAACGCTTCGGTAGGAAAGACCACCTGAAGAAACATTCAAGGACACACTTCCAACCTAGAGGCCTGTACTCTGCCGTTCCTGTGATACTCCCCTTCGAGACCTGGGCCTCTGGGCAGGCTAGTTTATATCCATTTCTACCTATGATCTACTAAATTATTAAAAAATCATTTACCTAATTGATAGAAAACACCCGGTATGGTTGTTTGTGGTTTTAAAACGTTTGTGTTTAGATAATATATGAAGAGAATATTAAATAAATTTATTCTAGTCTGATTTTCAGCTGCTTCGACATTTTATATATTAGTGTTGAGTAATATTTTCCCTGATACAGGGTGGTCCGAACTGTATTCCGGAAACTTCGGCAGAATATTCTGCAGATAAAAATAAGTAAAAATCTTCGTATAAATGTATGCCCTAAAATGCTTAGTTTCGGAGATACAGGGTGTAGAAGTTTGATTTTTAATTCGATTTTTTCCAAATAATTTCTGAAGTAAAGTCAATATTTGGATGAAAATTGGTGTTTGGGCGTTTTTTGACATGAGAAATTTGATTTTGATGTCAATATGACTCCTACTAGTAGAGGGCGCCACCTACACGTGTTCTAAATGTTTTGAAGCGTAATAACTTTTTGTCCGTACCTCTATAAAACTACAGAGCAACCGTTCTTAAGATATTTAGAATGGACACCAATTTTCATCCAAATATTGAGGTTATTTCAGAAATTATTTGGGAAAAATCGAAATAAAAATGAAACTTCTTCACCCTGTATCTCTGAAACTAAGCATTTTAGGGCATACATTTATACGAACTTTTTTACTTATCTTTATCAGCACAATATGCTGCCGGAGTTTCCAGAATACAGTTCGGACCACCCTGTATATCCCAATACAGAAGTTTTAAAAATATAAAAAAGACAACAACAATTCTTAAAAAGCTTGTAAAACCAAAACAGCTAAATGTATAATAAAAAATTATTAACTCTATAGGATATACATATTAGTTTTTGAGTTTTCAGAATATGTTAATATAAAACCATTACTATTGTTTTCTACTAGTAATATTTTAATATAGAATCATGTACAAATTGTAAAAAGGAAGTGTACCTAGGGGTGTCAGAATTAGTAAAAATTGTAAATAGATAGTTTTATTTATGTTCTAGTTAGAAGAAATCTATTTTTTGCAATAAACGTACTTTTATAGAAAAAAGTTTTTTTTTCAATAGGTAATCTGGTAAAATGATTAAATACGGTATAATTTTTAACATTCCTCACTGTGTATACATTTATTTATTGTTACGATTGGTATAGTCTATAAAATGAATAACTTTGAATTTTGACCGTTATTTTTTACCAACATGGCAAATATAAAATCCCTCTGTCAAAAAAGTTACTGATATTCTTTAAATTGAGTGCCTGAACGAATCAGATAGGTAACTCTTTTTACTTTCGTGAAATAGAAAAGGAAAATAATAAAACAAGTGACAGTTCTTCCTCTTCTTGCAAAAAACAACACGAAATGTCATAATTGCCAAAAGTAAAATGTCATCAGCTTTTGACATTTCTAAATATCAAACCAATGCCGTCTCTAATATAACAGCCCCGGAGCAAGATTTATGACGTCACGCTAGTTAGATACTAAGGATTAATAAGTATGTTATAAAATACATGGAAAACATAATTATTCCTCGTATTTTTGGTTTGTATTTTAAAAATGATATAGTTTACATGATATATATATATATATATATATATATATATATATATATATACCTATTTATAGTAATAAATACTTTGGCAAATAAACTATAAACCATCAAATGCACCAAATGTTTTTCAATATACAAATAATGAATAGGTACATAAGATAATGGATAAAATGTAAAATATATTTTAAATTTTGGGGTTTGAAAACCGATCTAATTTAACAAAAAACGTTCAATATCTACTAATAGTGATGTATTATTATTTGCACTCACCAAATTTATATGTAGATATATTTTGCAAGTATCAATGTTCGAAAAATTATATTTGCAAATAATAAAATATCATAGAAAAAAGGCATCAGCGATGGCTATAAAATAAAGATCGCTGTCATTTTATATGTAAAATTATTCTAAAATTTTTGATTTTCTTGGGATTTAGGTTAGGATGGAGTACGATTTCATCCATAGTCAATGTAGATAGTTTAGTGTTAAGAATAATAATTTTAAAAAATAAACAAAAACAATAAATAATAATAAATTAATATTATTTAATATTATTAAAAAAGTTATTAACTGTATATTATGTATATTTCATGTAAACTAAATCATTTTTAAAATACAGACCGAAAATACGAGGAATAATTATGTTTTCCATCTATTCTACAACATATTTATTAATCCGTAGTATCTAACTAGCGTGACGTCATAAATCTCGCTCCGAGGCTGTTCTATTAGAGACGACATTGCGTCAGCATGGCCGCAAGTTGCTAACCTAATAAAATTAACACTAGAAAAGTCCGCGGGAACTGTCAAATTCAAAGTTTATTGTTTCACAGACTATACGTATCTGTATCTATCAAAAAAAAAAATATTTCAAATTCAAATTCAAATTCAAATAGTTTATTTACTCTTCTCTCCAAATACCAATATACAAACCAAACAAAGCAAAAATTGGCGCCGGGGGGCACGTATAGCCGCCCATACTAAATATGATAATAAAAAGTTGGTAGGCAGTTCTTTTAGTTTCAAAGTAAAGGAATTTTTCCAATTTTTTTTATCACAAAAACTGCGACTTTGACTGATTTTGATGTTAAACTCATCGGCAAAAGTCTTGCACTCCCTTACTATTTTAATAAAAAATTACATTCCAAACTAATTTTTCGTGCAAATCAATAGATGCTAAAGTTATGTTAAAAAATAAGACAAAAAAGGAAAAGCTTTCACCAAGTTTAATAATATATTTTGCCAAAATATAAAAAATGCAAATTCCATGAAAAAAATATTTGACAAAAAAGAGAAAATAAATAATAAATTCTGACAAAGTTAAGGTTACTAATATAAAGTATTGCCTCCTCGATTTGTTATGAGTGCATCAAGTCGTCGGGGCATCCCCACTATAAGGTTATTTATGGTTTCTTGAGGTAAGTTCTGCCATTCCTCTTGAGCGGCAATGATCAACTCCTGGCGATTTGTTGGTGGGTTATTTCTGCGAAATACAGCTCTGGCGATGTAGTCCCAGACATTTTCAATAGGATTCATGTCGGGGGAGAGTGGAGGCCAGTCCACACGAGTTATTTCCCCTTCATTTAATGCTTCCTGGACTATCCTAGCTCTGTGAGGACGAGCGTTATCATCCATGAGAATAAAATTATTGCCGATTTCTTCTCGCAGTGGATAAATTATTGGTCTGATTACAGTTTCCACATACAAATGGGCGTTCATCACCTCAGGAATATGAATGAGCTCTGTTCGCTATTGTACATGATGCCACCCCAGAACATCTCAGTTCCTCCTTGATAAGGAGCAACAGCAAGGGCTGTATTCAAGCGATGCTGCCTCCATGCCTCCCTCCACACTCGCTGACGATAGTCATCACTGATCAAACCTATCCTGGTTTCGTCAGTGAAAATTACCTTTCTCCACTGAGGTAATAACCAGTTCTGGTGTTCTCTAGCCCACTGTAGCCTCCTTTGTCTATGATGTAAAGTTAATAGAGGGACTCGCATTGGACGTCTACGCCGCAATCTAGCATTAGAAAGTCGCCTGGAAATGGTTCGGCTTGATATCACTCGGTGGTAAGTTCGTTGAAACTGAGATCGTAGCTCTAGAATTGGAACTGACCGATTTCTTCTGGCAAATTGAGCCAATAGCGATTCTGTCGTGCAGTCGTTATCCTTGGACGGCCCAACCTAGGACGAGATCTTACATTTCCGGTGTCCATATACCGTTGTATAATTCGGCTGACAGTACTTCGCACTAAATTTAAACGATCAGCAATTTGATGCCTGCTGAGACCTTCTTCACGCAAAGCGATAATTCGGGCCCTATCGAAGGCAGAAATTTCGTGCCCTGGCATTTTTGTCGGCTTTCACAACACTTACTACAAGATTGAACTCGAACTGAGAAACAAAATTTGACCGTATTTTTTGTAGACACATATTAAGGTATTTGTACACACAGCCAAAACAATATGCTATGCAAAGAAATAAATTTGTCTGGGGGGTGCAAGACTTTTGCCGATGAGTGTATTATTACAAATTTTGTTTCAATATTATTCCTAATCTTAGATTGAAAACCGCGTTTCGCTAGGTACTGTAATTTCGGAGTTACGATTTTTTAAAATTTTTAACCCCCTCCCATACCCCCTTACCAACCCCCCAACCCCACCAAAAACTAATGGCCAGATTCTCGGGTGCCACAGTATTTTTGCGCTAAATTTGGTTAAAATCGGTTTAGCGGTTTTTGAGTTATCGTGTTACAGACGGGCAGACAGACAGACAGACACCATGAAATTATTTTGTATTTAGGTCATTTATGACACAAATAACTCATTTTGAGTGAAATTAAAAAAACTTTTTTTTGCCGATCTTAATTGCCTACCATACCTATTGGTATGGTCGGCTAAAAAATTAGGTAAAAGTTTGGTTAGGTTGTAGGTTGTTCCCTATTTATATTAAACATTTAACCACAGTACATTCAGTACCAGCTTGCCATGCTCCCTTGTTTTGTATTAGTATGTCACGTGCTGCGTCTATTGACGCAGATATGCCAGCAGTCACAGCACCATAGTCTTGATCACGATTTTTCTAACGATACTTTATTGATTTTTTTAAAAATTTAAATCGCTAAATTATTTTTTTTCGCTATACTGAAAAAAATCGCTAGATCTTTAAGGTTCTGAATGAAACTTAAAACTAACTTAAGTATATTTTTCTTATCAAGAATAGGAACAAATGAAAACAAAGAAAATAAAAAAAAAATAGAATTTGTGTAGTCATCTAAACTTTCTTCTTGTTTATAGTGTTGGAAACTGCATCTGAAATCTGGAATTCCTCTAAATTTTAAGTCTCCTAATTGAACCGGAATAGATATAAATTCAGGAAAGTTTTCGAGAACAATCAGTTGCATTTTCTTTTTCCCAAGCTACTACGTCACAGACAAAAGGAAACA